GCTAATTTGGGTCATCAAAGGCACTTTGTTCATCAAACCACATTTGTCATTGAACATAATATTGTCATTTTATGATCTGAGGTTTGAAAGGGACTCATGTAATATAATAATTCATGTAAATTCATACTCTTAATAGACTATATAATATTTAGTGCAAAATTTTAATCGTAAACTACAAACTCATCTTTTTTCTAATTTCCTACTTCTAAATTCTTAAGTATTATCTTCCCAAGTAGTAATTTCTTCTGAATTTAAATAAAATCCTGAGATTCTTATATGATTTTCATATTTATTTAAAATTTTGATATTATTAAAGTCTTACTGAATTGTTTTTGAAAGAATTCTAACAAGGAAAACCTCAAGTTTACTCTTCTGAGATTTTGATGAAACTTCGCATGTTGATAGAGTTGAAGTCAAAACGAACTTCTCAAAATATTATAGGCATATAAGAAACGGTTTATTTATTCTATTCATTCTCTTTTCATTTCTTTCATTTTCTTTTCATTTCTTTCATTCTCTTTTCATTTCTTTCATTCTCCTTTCATTTATTTCATTCTCTTTTCATTTATTTCATTCTCTTTTCTTTTCTTTCATTCTCTTTTCATTTCTTTTATTCTCTTTTCATTTCTTTCATTCTCTCTTCATTTCTTTCATTCTCTTTTCATTTCTTTCATTCTCTTTTCATTTCTTTCATTCTCTTTTCATTTCTTTCATTTTCTTTTCATTTCTTTCATTCTCTTTTCATTTATTTCATTCTCCTTTCATTTATTTCATTCTCTTTTCATTTATTTCATTCTCTTTTCTTTTCTTTCATTCTCTTTTCATTTCTTTTATTCTCTTTTCATTTCTTTCATTCTCTTTTCATTTCTTTCATTCTCTTTTCATTTCTTTCATTCAAAAATTTCTATATAACATAACTTTCCTATAACATTGGTCATAAAAGAAAAATTTATTTAAATATATCTAAATTAAATTTAAAATGAATTAATAATCTTTTAATTCCCAAATGCAGACAATTTTCTAAAATTATAAATAAGTAAATTTGTTATTCAGCCAAGTAAAAAAGAAGACCGATGGGTTGCTTCTCCAGACAAATTATGATGATTTGTAACAAATAATACTCATAGAACATTGCTGCACACGTAATTCTGATTGCTGTTATCAAATTAAAAGATTAAAAAAGAGTAATTTATTATGATTGATTAAAACAATTCATCGTTATTCCGATCCAGTGCTCTATGACGTTTTCGTTCCGAGTTTTAATGTGTGTTAATGGCCCTGTCATATGCCTTTGTTAGCTTTCTAAGCAATTCCGTTGTAATTAAGAAGAATCAGGTTTGCAAGTCACGTTCTATACTATAGGGCAATGTATTTTGATATTATAAACAGGGTGTGGTATTAAATAGGCCATCAAGCTCTTTAGGCCGATTGCCTTCGTTAATAAAATTGGTGTATTTTTAGTTTTGATCGAGGCAATAATATCGGGATACACCTCACACAATAATAGATTATATTATCTTAGAAAAAAGCTTTCAGTTAGAGAAATATTAGTTTTAGAAAAAAGTACACAGAACCAATATTAGTTTTTGAAAAATGTACACAAAATCAAGAAGAAATTTAATAAGGTATTATGAATATTTCTTAATTACAGTTAAGAAAAAAGTAAATTTTATAATAGTTACTTTAATTATATTTTATATAATAATATTATAAATAAGTAAATTTATTATTCTGCCAAGTTTCGAAATTTCATCATAAATACATGTAGAATAACATTAGCCTGTGTACCACATGATGTGAACACATGTTTCGGCTGTCTCGACTTCAAATACCGTGGCAAAAAGTACAATATGTGGATATTGCCTTCAAAATTTTCAAAAATAATCGTTTTCAGATGTTTTTAAGAAAAAAAAACATATGTCATTTATATATGGTATTTATGACTTTACCTACTAGTTGCAATTTGTGTAGTACTTCCTACTACCCTCTTTGTTAACTAATATATTTGAAGAACGAATCGAAGATATTTTGGATTTATAATTTTTTTAATAACCAATATGATTTATATTATTAGGTAAATAAATTATTCTAAACAATATTTTTAATATATGTTGCTGATAAAGGATTTAAATATTAAATATTGGCCAGTTATAAATAAACAATCTTCTTGTAAATAACCAATCAATACCAAAAAAATATTTTTAGAATTTATAATAAATAATATAATTCATAGTTTTAAATACATAATTTTTAAAAAAAATATTTTGCTGATGAAGAATTCATTTTAAATTTTGTTATTAATCTTTTACAATTTTTGGAGACTATTTCAAAATAAGCAACTGATAGCAAAAATATAATTTTACAAATTGCAATAACAAATTTAATTGCTGATAAATATCATTTTCTATACCAAATATTTTCTCATTTGATAATAAAAATTTGAATTAGCAAAATTTTTCAAATCGTTATAAATATAATTTGTATTATGAAGTAAATTATTTTGTAAAAATATGTTTCTGATTTTAAATTTAAGTTATAATTTGTTTCTAACTTTTGACTACTTCTAAATAAACAATTTAAAATGATAAAAATATAACTTTGCATATAGTAATGGGAATAGGATTAAATAATGTGAATATATCACATTGTTTACTTGGATTAAGCCAGAAGATATAAAATTTCAATTATTTTTATCTTAGAAATAATCCGACACTTTTGAAATTTAACTAACACAACATTCTTGGTATTACAGCGATATTTTATAAATAATGATAAATATAAAATAGTTCTATGAATGCATTCATAAGCTCAACAATCATATGAATTTAAAATGATTAGGATTAGAGAGGATTAGGAGTTCTGTTTAAGGATAATATTAATGTAAAGTGAGGATTATTCAAATTATCACGATTGAATACTGATAAAAATGTGAATTTGTTATGAATAATGCATCTGATTTATTTGTTGTATGACAATTGTTTACTAACTTTTGTTTTTCAATATCAATAACAATCTGCCTTAGTCATTTAGTAAAGAGGGTGATATTTTTAAACTAGATGCCTAATCAAAATTAAATCATATTTTAATAGGATTTATTATATTTTGAATTAATATTAAATTTTTTTTTAATTATATTTTCTTGCATTTATTTTAAATCGATATGAATCTTAAATGTAGAGCTTTCGTTTCTAGACTGAAAAAGCTCTGTTTCCCATATTTTTGAAAGTAGTAAAAAAAAAATCTGTTGCAACTGATTGAATTTTTAGAAATGAAATTTATCACTCATACGAAATTATTTTTTTTTTTGGCATATTATCCATGTTTTTTTTATTAGAAAAAAATAGAGTATTATTAAAATAATTTAGTGTCATTTGCATTGGTGTATTTTTTTGTTATAATTATAATTTTTGCAATTAAGATAAATTTAAATAATAAAACCTTCAAGCTTTAATATTAAATTTAAAGCTTTTTACATTGGAAAAGCTCAGTAGCATTCCAATGTTTTGAAAAGTGCTTTTATAATTTACAAATTAGTAAAAATAATATGTTGGAAGAGAAATGCGTTAAAAATAATACACAACAAAATTTGTTACCCATACAAAATACGTTTTTTTTCCAAATTAAAAAATTAAAAAAAGAAATTAGATTAATTTAATGTGGATTTTATAAATATGGCATTATTATTTACATGTTTCGTAAATATATAGAGCAGTATTAGAATAATTTAGTGTAAATTTTATAAAAATGGTTTATAAAAATAAAAAATTATCTATCGTTAGAATATTTTAATAAGAATTTTATAAAACTAGCTTTATTACCCATACTTTTTATAAAATATAGATTTTTTTTAAAAAAAAAAGTAGAGTAAATATAGAGTATTATTAGAATAATTTATTATAAATTTTATAAAAATGGCATTATTATTTACATCTTTTATAAAAATAATGATTAGTATTTAGATTTATTTAGTATGAATTTTATAATAATGGCACTATTATCAACTTTTTTTATAAAAATATAGAGTATTATTAAAATAATTTACTGTGAATTTTATAAAAATAAAATATTGTTAAAATAATTTATTATAAACTTTAAATAAATGGCATAATTATTCACAATTTAAAAAATAAAATATTAATTAAATAATATTAAAAAATGAATTTTATAAAAATGTAGAATTTTTTAAAAGAAAAATGTAGATGTTTTATAAAAATGTAGAAATGGTTTAATCGTACAAAACAAAATGTATTATCCATATTTTGCTTATTAAAAATTACCTTATTTTTGAGGAAATTAGATTAATTCCGTGTGTATTTTATAATAATGGCATTATTATTCGCTATTTTTTTATAAAAATATAAAGAATCGTTAGAATAATTTTTGAATTTTATAAAAACTCTATATCATTTCTTATAAAAATATAGAGTATTTGAATAGAATATAAAATTTTCTGATAATATTAGTTATTATTAGCATAATTTAATGGGAATTTTATAAACATGGCATACCTACTACTATAGTTTTATAATAATTTAATACTCTACATTTTTATTTGGATAATTTAGAAATATAATACTCTGTATTTGGATAATTTAAGAATATAATACTCTGTATTTGGATAATTTAGTGCTATATACGTCGTTATATTAATTATATTGATAAAATTGCAATTAATGATACAGAAAAGAAGAGTAAAAATGAGCGCGAAAGTTTTGACCTTAAAAAATTATCGTTAGAATTTAAAATATAGATTATTTATAAATATTATAAATATATATTTTATATATATATATATATATTTATTTATTTATATAATACTATAAGATTTGTATAAGCAATATTCAATAATTAACCCTTAATTTTTTAAAAAAAATTAGGGTACTTGTTTTTGAGCCTAAATTTGGGATTTTTGGGGACCGCTGACTACTATGGCTGCACAAATATTTTCATACATTTTAATGACTAAAATCTAATTAACTATTTTTAAATATAGAACTTACGAAGGTACCCCATATTCCTTGTGCAATGCGACAGAATATCCAAACATAGATTTATCTGGTCCAGAATAGCTCACATAATTCACAGTGTCAACATTAAACGATTCTGTTATTGGGCACAAAATAAAAAAAACTAGGGAACACAAAATTCTATAATTTGTAAAAAACAGCCTTAACACGTGTGATCGATACATTGCACTAAATCTAATCTAAACACAATTTTAAAAAAATCATAAAAACACTTGTTATTATTAAACACTAATTATCACTTCATATCATGGTGAGGTTTGAGGTCGAATCGTTCGTAGATTTGAACATGCCGCACTTTGATGCTGAGGCAGTGCCAACCGTCGCGAAACTAAATCTAAATTTAAACAATGAGGCAACGCCAGCCCACAGACGAGCTTGCGTCACTGGGCGCTACGAACGTAGGCGAAGGCGACTCGGAGCGGATTCGGACGAAATCGGCTTAAGAAATTCTCTTATAAGACTCACATAAGATTTTAATTAATATGAATATTAATTACGGCTGATAACACAATGAGTGGCAATTGATTGATAGGTTATCAGGCTGTGGTTTCCAAATTGTGGGGCCAGATTGTTTATGGGGGCGCGAAGCTTTTGCAAGGGGTGGGGGGTGTACAGCTTTTTCCAAAAATAATTATTTTTGGTTGGTTGGTTACCACAGTTTTAAATTATAAGGCTTTTTCTGGAATAATAATACTTTTATTCAAGCCATTATAATTTATTTACATTATTTCTATATTCAATTTTTATTTGAGACTAGAACGTAACTATTGGTATTGGTTTATTGCCTTGAGGCAAGTTACATGAACTTCCCGATATGTGTAAATAATAGACTTAATCAATAAAATATAAATTAATTTATGAGTGATTAAAAGTATTCCGAGGGGATTT